TTTTTCGTTAATAACTCGTTAACGGTGCCTCGGAGAAAATTTTTGTAAAAGAAGAAGTTGCTTCAAATGATCTGAGGAACCCGCCATTTCCGGATTGCGAGACATTTTTGGGACATCGTGTATGTGCAGAATGGCGATGAATTTCATCAAGGTCTTATGTTGTAAAAACATTGCCAAATACCAGCTCTCGTTCGACTGCTTCACGCGAGTCTCCTCCCCTTAAGGAGGATATCCCCGAACGAATGTCATAGCAGAAGTAGAACAACGTTTACAAACCCAGTCCTGGAACTTCTCAGACCAAGGACAGTGGAATAGACGATTTACCGAGCGTCGAAGCCGGCTAAGCCGCGATGAACAGCTTTATAGGTCGAAGTCTGATTTCAGGGCCACCTCGAAAAGATCGTCGAGCGGCCAGGAAAGTCGACGCAAGAGAGCAGAAAGCCGCTGTCTAGACGAGAGGTGAGTGAGACCGGCTCGCGTTGCTCGAACTCGTAAGTCTGACTCGTGTTTTTCTCTTTCCTGGCGGCCCAGAGCAACAACATCGAAATGGAGGACATTTTCCAACAGCACGTGAGTAGACCCGACCTCGCAGCAACGAGCGTACGATCGTTCTCGCGCGATATAATAGGAGGCGTTGTTGTTGACGAAGACGTTGAACTTGAACATCCGTAGGCTCTGAACGACACCAACAAGTTCACGACCATCTTCGAGATGGACAATAAGAGCAAGGAGGGCAAGGTGTACAGGCCCAGTCCGAACGACCTGGGGAGTCCTCTCGGTCAGATCGCTAGATACGTGGCAGCGACCGGTCAGATCTTGAATATCGGGGATGTGGCCACTTGGCTGAAGAAAGACGTCATGCAATCTGGAAATGAACCCATCAAGAGCATCCTCTGCATGCCCATCGTGAACGGGCAGAGAACCGTAATCGGCGTCGCCCAGCTGATCAACAAGGTCCGTTCAGTATCGTACGCGGTTTGGTAGCAAAGAGGGTTGACGATCAACTAGAGGATTTCGTTCGCAGGACAACGGAACGTCCTTCACCGACTCTGACGTGTCGATCTTCGAGGCGTTCGCGATCTTCTGCGGCCTCGGGATCCACAACACGCAGATGTACGAGTCGGCCTGCAAGCTAATGGCCAAGCAGAAGGTAGCCCTCGAATGCTTGAGCTACCATGCTACCGCCAGCAACGACGACACCGTCAAGCTAACCTCGGAGCCGATACCGTCCGCGGAAACGTTCAATCTGTACAGTTTCACGTTCATCGACTTCGACCTGACCGACGAGGACACCTGCAGAGCCACCATCCGAATGTTCAAGCAATGCAACCTGATCCAGAAGTTCCACATACCCTACGAGGTGCTCTGCAGGTGGATACTCAGCGTTAAGAAGAATTACAGGTAACTATTCTACGAAATTACTAATGTCTCCATAATTGACGCGCAGATTGTCCACAAAAATGGACAATTTTGGAAGAGGAGATACAATTATTCGAGCCTTGCGGTTCGTTTTTATAGTTACGAATTGTCTAACAACTGTAAAAACGAGCTGCAACGCTCGAATAAACGTATCTCCACTTCCCAAGTTGTCCATTTTTGTGGACAATCTGCGCGTCAATTATGGAGACATTACTGTATTTCGTTTCTATTCCCTGAAATTAACGCGCTACGAATTGACGCAGACCGGTCAAGTACCATAACTGGAGGCACGCGCTAAACGTCGCGCAGACGATGTTCGCCATGCTGAAAACCGGAAAGATGGAGCAATTCATGACCGATCTAGAGATCCTAGGGCTGCTGGTAGCCTGTCTGTGCCACGATCTAGATCATCGGGGAACGAACAACGCGTTCCAAACGAAAACGGAGTCCCCGTTAGCGATCCTCTATTCGACTAGCACCATGGAGCATCATCACTTCGATCAGTGCGTGATGATACTCAACTCGGACAGCAACAACATCTTCCAGAACCTGACCATGCAGGATTACAGAAGGGTGATGAGGGTAGTGGAGAGCGCGATTCTTTCTACGGACCTGGCGGGCTACTTCAAGAAGAAGGATCGGTTCATGGAGCTGATAGACGATGGGGAGTTCGACTGGCAGAGCGAGGAGAAGAAAGAACGTAAGGTTCTTCAATGCTAACTATCAGACTTGAGCCTCGAATTCTCGCAGCTTGGGGACTTTCTTTGGGACCTAGATAATCTAGGAATTAGACCCTCTAAATTGCAAACTCTAGACTCTATTGGGCTCGTAGACTATTCGACTCTAGACTCTATTATGCTCTAAACTTTGTACTGCTCTAGATTCTATTAGGCTCTAGGCTCTTTAGGCTCTAAACTCTATTGCGCTGTAAACATTATTCGGCTGCAGACTCTATTGGGTTCTAGAGTCTATTAGGTTCTAGACTCTATTGGGCTTTAGACTCTATAGGATCCTAGACTCTATTGGGTTCTAGACTCTATTGGGTTCTAGACTCTATTGGGCTCTAGACTCTATTGGGTTCTAGACTCTATTGGACTCTAGACTCTATTGGGTTCTAGACTCTATTGGACTCTAGACTCTATCGCGCTCTAAACATTATTCGGCTGTAGACTCTATTGAGCTCTAGACTCTATTGAGTTCTAGATTCTATTGGGTTCTGAACTCTATTGGTCTCTCTAAATGCTCTTGGGTTCTCTAGATTATTTAGACTCTAGACTCTTTTGTGCTCTAAACTTTATTCGGCTGTAGACTCTATTAGGTTCTAAACTCTATTGAGCTCAGATTCTCTTAGGCTCTAGACTCTATCGCGCTCTAAATTTTATTCGGCTCTAGATTCTATTGGACTCTAAGCTCTTTAGGCTCTAGACTCTTTTGCACTCTAAACTTTATTCGGCTATAGACTCTGTTAGGTTCTAAACTCTATTGAGCTCAGATTCTCTTGGGCTCTAGACTCTATCGTGCTCCAAATTTTATTCGGCTCTAAATTCTATTGGGCTCTAAGCTCTTTAGGCTCTAGACTCTTTTGCACTCTAAACTTTAGTCGGCTGTAGACTCTGTTGGGCTCTAGACTCTATTGCGCGCTAAACTTTATTCAGCTCTAGACTCTATTGGACTCTAAACTCTAGATATCGCAACTCACTACATTCCAAACCAAACCGTTTCGTCATCGTCGCGGTACGAAACTCTAATTGTTGTTCTTGCTCGCAGTGCTCTGCGGGATGATGATGACCGCCTGCGACGTCAGCGCGATCGCGAAGCCGTGGGAAGTCCAGCACCGAGTCGCTAAGTTGGTAGCGGACGAGTTCTTCGACCAAGGGGACCTGGAACGTCTCCAACTGAACCAGCAGCCGGTCGCGATGATGGATCGCGAGAAGCGGGACGAGCTGCCTCAGATGCAGGTCGGGTTCATCGACATGATCTGTCTGCCTCTGTACAAAGTGATGGCGGACACGTTCCCGTGGATCATGCCGCTCTACAACGGCACCATGGAGAACAGAAGGCACTGGCAGGATCTTGCCGAGAAGGTGAAGATGGGCCTGACCTGGATCGACCGCGACACCATCGAGGAACCGGTCGAGGAGTTCGTCGACTCCGAGCCGAAGGACATCGAGTTCACGGTGACGACCTTGAACTGCGCCCACGCCGAACGAAAAGAGACCACGGAGAAATCGTCGCTCGGCAGGTTCGCGTCCTTGAGAAAAGGCGGTCGCACCTTGAGCAAAGGTGTCCGACACCGGATCAGTAGATCGTTGTACGCGAGCGGAACGCCGGAGGACACCGCGAAGTCGAAGGCGTTGATCCCCGACAGGAAGAGCCGCAACAAGCTGTGCTTGCTCATTTGACGTCTTACGTCGACCACTCTGGAGAGTCTGTGAACGAGATCGAGGACGAGTTAATCGTACCCTGGAAGGTCAATTCTCGACGCCCAGTCGGCGTGGGTGGTCGGCTGATGAGGCGAATGACGTACCGCCGAGGTATGAATCATTGAGAAGACCAGCTGACAACGAGGAGAACTCCTAAATAGGCGATCCCGACGATCGAGGGAGCCAGGAGGAAGCGAGACGAGGTCGATCCGAAGTCGAACGCTCGGTCTGATCGGAACGAGACGTCGAATCGTGAAAAGCGTTCGGGGATGTCTTAGGGGATGAATGCGAAGCAGAGAGGTTGCACTCTGAGGAGATCTTGTTGCATTCGTGTCCGATGTACGTAGAAAAACTGGATAGAGTTTAGTCGATGGCTAGGTAGTTCGGCTGAACGCCGAACGGCGAGAATTCGGATTCGAATTTTGACAATCTTTTTTGTATTATATCTCGATAAACCTTAGGCTAGATACGGAAAGATCGATGGGAGGGATGGGTGGAGGCGCGTTTGTTTCGCGGGACATTTTTATATATTAGAGGAGACGACGATGGGCACCGGACACGTTGCGTTCCCGCTCCGTTTCACCGGAAGCATCCCGAAAACGGCGAATCCCGGCCGGCCGGCCGGCGACGAATCCAGTTGTCGAGGCGGACACACCGGATCGATTGAATCAATAATGATTTCGGTTGCGTCAGAGACGGTGCCGGGCCGGACCAGGCGTCGAAACTCGGCCGTCTCGACGGCGCAGGAAACGGAAACGCGATTTCGCATTTCACTTTTATACGGCCGAGGTGCTCAAGGATACGGGGCTGCTCGTGTTGACCCGTCGTTCCTGTATTTCATTAGGCCACTGTTTTTCCCGTCGGCCAGGGCAAACATCGACGGAGAGGATAATCGCCGATTGGATAACCTCTTATCGGGGATTATTATCGGTGTCCTGATCGACGCTAGTGACGCTCGAGCGCGAACCAGTACCGGATGGACGCATTCGCGAAACCCTGTTGTCCGTTTGATATTCTTCGACGAACGTCCTTGCTACGCGATTCTGATTGGTATTGGAATTTCAATGAATTCGTTTCGCGGAATGACGGAAAAATATGCGACGGATGAGGTCTCGAGAAGAAAATACAGTGGCGCACGCAAATTGTCGATGTTTGAACCGTTACAATTTCGTGACGACGAGTTGTACGGCGATGAAACTGGTCTCATTTTAAAGCTTGGAATCTCTACTTTCACGTCTCGTTGACTATAATTTTCTGAGATGCATCTGCATGATATAGCGAACGGAAAACTGAAGGCTCAGGTTTACTCGAACAAACTACAAATTGAAACGTCTCCAAAAGCATTGGAAAATTTTCTTCGTGCACGAATCTACCATGGATTTGAAGATTGAAGGTTCCTCTTCACGACCTCTTAAAAATTGGTGAATGATTTTTTTTTAGTGGTTTTATGGAAGAGAGACGAAGAATAAGTGCGGTCGTGTAAAACTCTGTATTACTGTAAAGTAGAGCTTCGGTAAAAGCTCGGTAAAATGACCAAAAAAAAATCGTACACCGAAGTGTAAAGAGCTGTTGTAAAGGGGAGACTTCAATCTTCAAATATAATTTAGGTTCAATGGCGACAAAATTTGTCCACTATATTTACAGATGTTTTAATCCGTAACATTTCGAAGACGGCGCACGTCTCCAGTTTCCCACTTCCTATGTTATGCAAGTACGTGTTACAAGAAAATGAACGATGCGCTGCGAAAGTGGAAGCTTCGAGCTTTAAAATGAGCCCAGGCTTATCGTTGTACTACTGGTTTTTACGAAATTATAACAGTTCAAATATCGACACTGTAAATGACGAGAAGACGAAGAGCTCGCGTTACTTTGAAAAGTTAGAAAGCATTCATAAAAAAATAGTATATCAATGATCAGTTCACCCTTATGTTTAACACGTTGAGTGCCGAAAAACAACCCCAAAATTCCCGCAATATTAAACCGAAAGTGAACAATTAAAACGTACCACAATTTATTGTAGCACTAGTTTAACTTTTTCGCTGTCTAAAAATGCTAGTAACATTCAGTTTATTAAAAAAAAAAAAAGAAACAATAAAAATGAATACCAAAATTCAGTTAAAAATTAGTGTCATCCAGCTCTCAACGTGTTCAATTTGAAGGTAGAACACAATTGTCTCCGAAGCTTTTTCAATCGGTTTGCATTGATTTGTGAAATAGTCTGATTCAAAATGGCGAAAAAGAAAAAACGATACGTCTCTAAGGAAAATATGAAGCTTTGTTCGAAACGTAGAGTAAACTGTACGAATAGGTTTCCGCTGATGAACCGTGAATTTCGACGTCGAATTTAACGATGTTAAACGAACCAGGAAAATCGTTGACCCGGTACTGTATCGCGAGGCGGTGCCGCATAGCGAATCAATGGAATTGCATACGTCGAATCTACGCTACAGATATTATTATCCCCGCGATATTCTCGGTTGTGGTGATTCGAAGCGAACACGAGAATTCAGTGCAACGAGCGAGGCTGGTTTCTAGTCTTGTAGTTACGAACGAGGGCAAGCCTGTCGAGAAGATTATTGCGCCCGATTAAATAAAGATCTGAATGTGCTCAAAACATCTCTCTCTCTCTCTCTCTCTCTCTCTCTCTCTCTCTCTCAGTCACTCAATTTCTGTCGATTGTCTTCGTGTCTTTTTCGTTCTCTCTCTCTCTCTCTCTCTCTCTCAATCGCACAATTTCTCTCGATTGTCTTCGCATTTCTTTCGTCTTTCTTATTCTTTCCCTCTCTCTATCTCTCTCTCTCTCAGTCACTCGATTTCTTTCTCTCTCTCTCTCTCAGTCACTCGATTTCTTTCTCTCTCTCTCTCTCTCTCACTCGATTTCTTTCTCTCTCTCTCTCTCTCTTGATTCTCTCCACAATTTCTTTCTCGGTAATATCGGACTCCCCTTGGTGGCTTTCACGCAGTTTTTATTAATAAAACATTTAGAAATTACACTCGAACGACGGTGTCCTTTTACACGCTAACGAATCAGCAAACGTTTTGGTCCTACGATTAAATTAAGTATAACAAACGGTTTCTTCTTCTTTCTTCGTACTCCCCGTACATTTGTCGGCAATTGATTCGCTATTTACAACATTATGCAACGCGCGTGTCTCTCTCTCTCTCTTTCTCTCTCTCTCTCTCTGAGTTTGTATGTGGGTCGTTGCATACGTGCGGAGCCTGGCGCGGTCCAACGTTCGCGACGACGGACAATGTCGTCGCTTCTTTTTGATCTGTGCTCGTCAAGCTACTGTTTTAACACGAGTCCCTCTTTCCCGACCCTTTTCTTTTTTCCCCGTCCCGTCCCTTCGGTTTCTCTTATTCACTGATCACGCGGAAACAAACGTCGTGGCAGTGACGCGGCTATTTGGCGAGATTCATTGATCTCTTGATTAACGATGCTCGAGGAACGCGAGCGTGCGCGCTGTCCCATTGGAAATCCCCGCTCAGCCTCGCTGAACACATAGTGATACACCTTGCGTGACGTGACCCTTTTATCGTACTGTATAACAAGCCAACCCCTAGTCCTATGATACCGTACGAAGACAAGTAGGGTAATTGTATGATAGCGTCCACGTCGAGCCTGCGACAGCGATCGAGCCGTGCGCGACAGGACGATAGCAAAACCGCGTATGATAAGTGTACGATAGCCACGTGGACATTGTACGATAGTTGTGTGTGATAGCGTGTGTGTGTGTGTCGGTGTCGCGGCGCGTGTTAACAACGTTAAGCTGAACGACGATCGTATGTTCGCCACGCGACATTTGTATGACAGTTGTACGATAACGTGTGATATAGTGTCGCAGCGTGACGTTAACAGCGCGAGCTGTATGATAATCGTATGTTAGCCACGTGGACGCTTCGTGATAGTGTTAACGGTGTATGGTAACAGCCACGATCTCTGTACGATAATGTATAACTGTAAGATAACAGCAACGTACGGCGGTGATACGTCGGTGTATGATAATTGTATAATAATATCTTGGTGTACGATAATTGTATGATAACGGTACAATAACAATGCCACAGCCGGACGGTGGACAAAACCGAGTAACTGTACATTGGAGAACTGTACGGGTATAACTGAACGCTGCGATGGTATAAAAAACCGCGTGCGATGAACGTGTTGAGGATGCATGGTGGTGCATGACCGTCGACGTTATGATACCCCTCTGCATCGTGTGTGTGTACGCGCAATCGTCGTTTTTCCAAGGGGGAGGGGGGCAGGCCGAGCCACGCGAACGCCCCGAGCACTATCAATGTCAAGGAATCCAGGCCATGGAAAATTTCATATGCACATCTGTCTCTCCCGTTCGTTGATCCCGTCGCGACGTTTACCTCGGCAGGCTCCGCAGCTCATTGTGACCAAGGACGAGACCGTACGTTGCCCGCAGTATAAAATGAATCCTTGCTCCTCCCTGTGAAACTGTGCACGGTAGATAAGTATACCCCGACACGCTCGACACATAAAAAGGTGTATAATGATATACATATATATATATATAGTTATTCGTGAACGGTCGCCTCGTTCTGGACCGAGCGACGATCACCGACGACAATGAAATCAATATAGTCGCTTTGAGATCATCCCGTTCTCACAAACCAGTCGAATCAGAGAAACGGATACGAGAGAAAACGTCGAGCGACCAGCGTTGACGGACAAGACGAGGAGGAGGGGCCTCGCATAACGGTCGTGTCGCTCGCGCGGAGATGTATCCACGGTTACGTTTGTACAAAAATATAAAATAAAAATGATCGCCACGCATATACAGCCATACACAGCATACGTGCACTCCCAACACCGCGACGCCGGCCGGTGCGTACTCTCGTGTGGTTTGTATCCTTGATCACAATGCTCGCACGATGAATCCGTTTTTTTAATACAATATAATCTACTAAATAGAGTTTCACCTCTTTCATTCGTCTCTTCGTGTTCGTGTTCGTCCCGTATAGAAATTTCTCTTAGCCAATCCCTGGACCCCCTCAGCGCAGAACACACCTTTTTGTGCCAGCAATTTCGATCTCGAATTCAGTTGTACGTTCGTTTCCCGGTTTTCAAGGTTTGTCAACCCACGGCAAGAAGTGAATAACTTGACCCGTAACATGCCCGATAATAAAACGCAAGCATTCATGGAAGATAAGATCGCGGAAGAGGAGAAAACTGAAGTGTCGCCCTGTTTTGTTTGGGTGTGTGTGTGTGTGTATGTCTGATGTCTGTCTGTTGTGTGTGTGTGTGTTCGAAAGTGTCAAACTCACAATATGCCGGATAACGTTCCTCGGTATTTGAGAGAGGTGAGAATCAAATTTGAGGCCAAGTCTATTCCATGGGGAACAGTGCGAGGAACTCAAGTTTGGCTCATGGTGTCGCCTGTTAAATGCAGATGACGGTAAAGTCTTCAAATGAACAGTAAAAAATTGCTTGAACCTTTGTTCGCAAAGAAACAACACGTACACGGTATCATCCGTTGCAGATTATCGAGCAATCTTTGCTGAGGCGCATGATGTTCGCTATTGTTTGCACGCGCACGTTGTTGTTTCTTTGCTGAATTGTTTCGCTTACACTGGTATATATTACTGTACGCGTACAAAATTGAACTTATACAACGTCATGGTGTCGTGAGTGTTCACGCTGCGACCGAGCATGAACACCGAATGAAAAATTACATTCGTTCGATCAAAAAACATACATGCAATTAAACTCTGTCGTTGTCTGCGGACAAACCTTTTTATTCTCCGAGTACACCCCGGAGACTTTATTCTCGAACTCGAAGTCGTAAATGAAACATATTCGCTCTAGTTTCTTATCCCATGTACTATCCGAGAAGGTAAGCGTCATTCGAGGAATTCCAAACAACATTGCATGTATGTTCACAGTAGAGTTTGCTGAAAATATAATTTGTTGATATTCATGGATCGTTGCAGAATTCACATTGCACAATTAAGTCGAAGAAGATCGGAACTCAAAGTGGTTATGTCCAGAAACACTCAACGGCTCATATGGGGCTGTAATCCTGGCAAAGTGGCAGAAATGCGCGGATCACATAAAGAACTCCCTGGATCGGCTAATGTGCAGTCACGACGCAGGTCTATCTAGTACTGAGATTTCTATTAGCCTAAGACCACGCAACGCCGGATCTGTTAGTAACAGCCCACGCGGCTTGTATACTCTGTCATTCTGTTCACAAACGAACTTGGCCACCTTACGCAAACACTTTTCGTACTGAGTCTCTGTGCATATGTAAATTAGATAACCGGTGAGGCAAGCCAAGCAGCTTTCACAATACGTGGAACAACTGGCCCGTTCTGCTTCGGCAAAGTAGTTGTTCAACTGAGTGACTGTGTACTCGAACGATTGTCTGTCCAACTAAAGTAGGAAATGATATAGGGAAAAAAATGACCTGTAAGTTCATTATATATTCACACATATTAACTGCTAGAAAAAGGATTAATTCCGTATTCAATTTTGTCATATATTCCTGTGAAAGAGTATGATATAAACAAAATCTAATAATTCCAATTCATATAATTCAAACAATTGTTGGTTCAATAAAGAAAGGAAATAAAATAATAATTACATACTCTGCTCTCTAACTCCACAGGAAACCGAGTCTGGAACTTGACCATAGTTCCTTCACTGTAGTCACGTTGTATATAAACCTTTTCACAATTTGGAGGTGGCCCCCCACCCCTTTGTCCCCGGCCAGCTGACATATCCTCCAGGGGTGTAAGGGCAACGTGATTGCCCTGAAAATAAGAAATTTGTCAATCCTCTGCTGACGTTTCGCCTAGAATAAACAATCACTTTAATCTATTGTTATCCGTCTCCGCGATGATAATCACTTGACACAACTACGAAAGTTAAATGTTAGAATATCTAACCACAAAACCGCACCCAAATTGGCTCGATTGAAAGGCTCCATGGCAAAGCCGCAGCTCTATCGACGATCGAAAAACAATGAAGTTTAAAGATTTTCAATTGAAATTCGACGTAGAGCGTTCGAAAACATTCGAGAAAGGAGACTGTTTAGTAGTGAGGTTGACAATGAAAGAAGGGGAGGAAGAAAGAGAGAAAAGAGTGTAGAGACTTACCAATGACATTTTGAGCTTCGTCTTGACGATTTTATAAAACAAATTTGTTGAGGATAACTTCGACTCGTTAGTCGACCACAGGATAAACCGTTGAAAAACAATAATGAGCACGATGACAAACGTTTCTTGCAAAATACGGAGGACTACGATCTGACGGACTGGGGCACGACACCGTCGCCATAAAGCGTGCGCGCGCAATGCGCTATAGTGGTGGGCAACGTGACTGATGAAGCAACATTTCCCTAGAATAGTAGGGAAAGTTTCAGATTAGTCTGAATTCTATTAATTAAAACATGTATTTCGGTTGCATATAGCACCGTGGAACATCAGCGAATAATTCAAGTACGAGATTCATCGAATTTTCGGCAAGATCTTAAATTCTTTTAACGTCGTTCAAATTGAAAGTTTTACAATTCGCGCCATATTCGTCTGCCTTCAAATAGCGCCATTTGACGTAGTGGCAAAACGCTCAAACTGTTATACAAATTTACCGACAAGGTAAATTAAATCTGGAATTGCACAATGGCTCCATCTGACGTAACCTTAGATTTATCATCAGTGGATAATTTTGAGTGGATAACGTTTGAGCGTTTTGCCACTACGCTCAATGGCGCTTTATAAAGGAAAATAAAAATGACGCCAAATTCAAATTCGCTCCTGTACAAGACAATTGGACTTTCTCGCAGAAGAAATCCTCGTTCAGTTTATTTACTTAGAGTTAAATCTTAACTTCCGTATAATCTAGCTTTCGTCTCTTATTTTTCGATGGTTCAGATTCAAATGAAACTTAAAAACACCGAGTTGCTTCCAATATTAATTTTATTGGATCGAAAATACTTCTGAAACGACAATTTTTTCCAGTTCTCATTTACTTATATTTACAGTTCACGGTTCGATTTATATCTTCCAAGAGAGTTTGCCATTCAATGTTATTATTATTTATAATCAAACCCGGTTTCAGGGTTGCTCGTTTAACATTGGATTCATTATCTTATTGCAAGCTGGTTTACTGAAATGCATCTCACGGGACGATAAAGGTTTCCGGAAGTAATACACAACGTTTATACAATAGAATATATTGTCACAGTTCGCTTGTCCCTTAGAGCTCCAGCTTATGTTCCTCCGACTTATTTAGATCCTAAGCTACTGCTCTATGCTCGCCATTTTCCTTCTCAGACATCGCATACGCGTTCGAAAAGAACGCCTGTTCATTCTGAACTGCGCACATGACGAAATGGTTGCAGAATTTTTGCTTATCTTTCATACGACTTCGTTCTTTCCCAATCTTTCTTCCCCTCGGTTCTCTATGTAATCCTAACTTCCGGTTTCCACGGACGTCGAAACAATTTTACACTGTCATATTATTGATATATGTACAATATAAAAATAATACAACGTTTCTCGCTAATTTCGAAGCTCACGCAATTTCAGCAGAAACGATGCAACCACGGGTCAAGGTGACAGCAGAACTATCATCGGTCGATGGCTCCCATTTCGGTAGCCATTGTCAAGTACAGACTGATATATCGCAAACCCGGAACATAAAGGAGAAAGATCAATACAAGCATCCGTTCTGAATTTAGTTTCACTCGTGTTCGTCGATTACTTCGTTTTATCCGACTAACTAATTGATAAATGCTTATTGTCACGCGTGTCAGAGCGTCTATCGGTCGCTGGTCAATTCCCGTGCGAAAATATATATTATGTCGTTCGCCTAAATTCGACACTTTACCTACCGGAGATTGCATCACAGTCCATCAAAAATTACAGATTAACGATCGAAGAAGATCTTCTGAAAAATTGATCAGCAACTGTAGCAGATTCCTATTTATAATTAAATAAATTATTCCGAGTAATAAACTCTATAATAGCGTCTTCGGAGATATTCCGGTAGCTAAAGTGCCAACTTATTTTAAAGAACATCTAATTCTACGATCAGTCCTGGCGCGGTTTTCTCTCTCAATCTCTTTTTCTTACTCCCTAACAGCTTAAAACTAATCAATTGATATAACGATCGATGTCCAACGATCATCGGTTACAAACTGAATAATGAGTATTGCATTCTTTTCGGGACAATTATAAAAATTTGCTGAAAATCGATCGAACGTTTGAAAAGAGGATCTGCGAATGAAAAATACCGTCGACGTCGATCACGTGACCTTCGGCGATGGAATGACAAAGAATAGAAAACGAAAAAATAATGATCTCTTTCAACCTATCCGTTGTAAAAACTATTTAATGAATGGTACATGATTTTTCGAAGCTGTTTAAAGCATATAATATTTCTTTTACACGTTTCATTAACTATGAAATGGTTGATACAATTTATAAATCTGTCCGTGGGCCCTTCATAGGGCAGCACGTTATCAAATAGGACGTAATGGACCAATGAGAGCTCGGTCACGTGATAATCTACGTCGACGGTGGTCATTTTTAGAAGAATTGAAATCAATTCTTTTAGGAATGATCATTATATGTAAATAAAATACTGAATTACAAAGGATTGATTCAATGCCGATAGACACCCTGATGTATGTTTCATGGGAATTCATGGTGGTCGAAATGTATCTCGTAAAAAGTACAGAGCGTTATGACGGAAACGTTTCGCAACCGATAGCATCGGTGACGCATCTGCATGTCATAATACAGACTGCGCTGAAATGAAAAGTTTCGACGATCTTTGCGATCCAGATTCGTTTCTGAAGTTCCGACTTCGCTTCCTACTCAGCTGATAATAATTCATCAATTAGTGCCCACTTAAAGATCATTAAAGTGGTGCTTCTGATGAATCGCCGAGGCTAACTCGAAGCATTAAATCATTCACGTCGTTTAGCAACAGATGCGAAGACGCGACGATACGTATCTTACATTAATCGCAATACAGAAAAATCCAACGCGTCAAGGTCGCTCCCCCACTACCATAAATCATCCTCATTTTAGACCACGTGGATAATACTAATTCTATTTTATCCAATCCTCGAAACGGACAATAGAGTATATTTGATATATTTACAATGATCGTTTTGGAGAAATTAGTACAGGTCCAAATTGGTATTGTCAAAGAGGAGGCTGACCTTGACAAACCTAATCTGCCTCGATCCTAGCGATGCTCGGGTCTCAGAAACACCCTATAAAAAATAGTTGGTCCGAAAGAAGTTTCACTACCGATATGCTGCACTTCTGCATTTTTTTGCAATAATTTTTTTCAACTTTTAGATAGAGTTTTGCTAACGTTCGATATCTTCAGTGGGTTTTCAACAATCCAGTCACACGAATGTGACATTTCCCATTCCGAGCTGAGTCCAGATATCGTCACATCATTCTTTCCATAATTGAAGAACAAATGTGGACTCAGCCGCGCAGTAACACCCGTTCGTGCAAATGTATCCGTGACAAGGATAATTATTCTTTCTTTTTTCGAAGAATTGCTCTGACATGTCGGCAGTCGTTTTCGGAAATCGACGACTTCTGAAAATCAACGTTTACGTAAACAAAACTTAAGATTATGGCGAAGCTGTCGATGATGGGGAAGCTTAAGTTTTGAATCACGAGGTTCAACTAAGTGGCTTGTAAAAGTCAGACAGGACAATCTTACGAGCTGTGGTGATATTATAGAACGTCTACAGATCGTTAGTAGACTACGGTTTTCATGCGTTTATAATAAAAATAAGTAAATGCAAAATAGTAAAGTATTCAAAAAAAAAGAAATCTGTTACATCATTTTCATCTCATGCAAACAAATTTTATGTTGCATGAAATTCCACAGTCTAATCGTTATCATATACTATGTCAGTAAGCAAATTTGTGGGTCTATCAAAGCTGACAGAACAAACTGAGTAAATTCCTCGAAGTCCCTTTTGCTACAATGGAATCCTCAAAAAGTTGTAAGCATCCTTTTCCTTAGCAATAAAATCAGTTCATCGTGAACATTGATTCATCTGTTAATCGACAAAGACAAATTAATTCGATCTTTACCCAACACTGTTGCTAAAAAATGTTAATTGCAATCAGGTGATTATGATATTCTCTGGCAGGGATAGTATATTATGCTCGTCAAACTAGGAACTTCATCCACTAACATAATAAACAGCAGACAGATAATTAACAAACTAATTGTTAAAAATATTCGTCGCCAATGAAGAAAGTGTACAAGCTAAAAATCTTAAATGTTCTTTTAATCTAGAATGAGAACGAAATACGTGTTGCTTCAGAAACGCTTGTAAATGTATACAAAATAAAAGCTGTATCATCTCCGTGGTTACCCTAAATAATACGTTTCAGTAGTACAATTATAATTTCGATAATTAGACGACAGTGCCAATTTGAAGATCGAAGAAAATATTCTGATAATACAACAATGTTCTGGAGTAACTCGTGCATCAATAGATCTAAAAAAAAGTTTACTTATTATTGCAACTATAAACAACAGATGATTCTGTCGCTAAACGCGTAATATAGAATTACAATGTAAAATTCACTAAGAATCATCTGTCCTTTAAAATGTACAAATAACGCCGTTACACGTAATTTGAAATTGGCGAAATTTTTATTTACTAAATAACACCAATACACGTAGTGGCAGAACACCCAAATTATTAAACAAATTATCGACTCTTAACGTTTCTTGGAACCAGAGTTACTTTGCTCTGTCGATAAATTTGTCTACCAGTTTCAGCGTTTTGTCACTGCACGTGTTGACGCTGTTCGGAGATGGATAAAAATGGTGTCAATTTCAAAACTTTCAGTTTCATTGATGGTGGAAGCGTTCAAGAGCTTGTTGAAAAATCAACTTGTAAATAAACTTTTTTTTACATGAGATTAATGCAGGGCAAACTTCTGAATATTTGTGTACCGTCAGAGTATTTTTTAGCCGGTAAATTTCCCCGATAAAAGAGACTCAAATACAGTAAAATTCCGATTATCCGACCTTTTTCTTTATGATTACTTCTAGGGAAGTAAGATATGCTTAAGTTTTCTCGAAATTGTTTAGCTTTTTCTAAAGGTTAATTATTGATTCTAAATAGCTGAGGAATATGGTTATAATATGGTTATATGGGGTATAATATGGTTACGTTTGTATCAAACAGTGCCGGATTATCGAGCGTTCCGGATAATCGAGTATTTCAAATAATCAGAACTCTACTGCATTATATTAAATTGCTCGTATTCATTAAAGGAATTAAGACCGCATGCTGAAGAGAGGCTAAAGTACTCAAATGTAGGAATATCAACTCCATTCTATCAACAAAGGGCGAAATTTCAAGGAAGATCCTTCGACGCGCGGGAACGAAGGACCGCAAACTATACAACGGATTACAATGAGCGATTGCCGCAATCATGCACTGCATATAAATATGCATTTTTATACGTGCTGTGCGATTCTAACGGCGATTCACTGTCAAAGAACGTCTCACCGGAAATACATATACCATACATACAGTTTGTACAAAAATCAACACAATTGATAAATAAGGAACGGAACAAATGAGAAAACGAGCCGCGCGGATCTGATAAACTGGCTAGAAACCTGTCTACCACGGATATCTATGCTTAAAAAAGTATAAAAAATCTAAATCCTCGAACGACGCCGTAGTATGCTGGCGAGACTATTCTTTCTCACTCTCTTTCTCTCCCTCTCTCACTCTCCCTCTCATTCAATTATTATAGCAAATGCACCAGTTGTGCACGCTCGTAAGTTTGTCTGCAATTCATCGATGCACCGAGAGAATCTCTCGTGTTCCGTAATCAATTAATTAATTAATTAATTAATACGCGTGTACGTTAAACCTAAACGCATCCTGAATAGCCAGAATCACTTGAGTGGTTGTACGTTCATGATTCGCCGTTCGCGACGAATGAAATTTGAACCAGCAATTTTTGTTTCAATGGAAAAGTTGCTTGTCGGACGCGGTACAGTGGTTTCCATGTTGGGGCGTGCGTTGTTTGTTCGTTTAATTCGGTTTCAAAGAACTTAAAATGGATTTGAAGCTAAAACAATCCTACAGAAAAATATATATATATCTATATATAAGACAGTCTTTTTAAAATCAATATTCTAATGAGATACATTGTCTCTGCAACTTCGTTATGTAGGATATAAATTTGAACAAACAGTGTACATAGGTGTACGAGAGTGTACACATGATAGCAAAGATTCCAAAACGGCGATATGACTTGCTGTTCCTCCTTAAAAGTCTGTCATTTTTTTCTCTGGCATAAAATTCTGACTGATTACGTGAAACCGATAAAAAATAATTGCCTAAAAAGCTTTATCAAGTTTTCACACATCCTAGTATCTTTGGGACCACTTACCACCCCGTATACATGTACGCCCGCACGCCGCCATCAGTGGCAGTAAATGCAAATACAATATTATCATTATTATATTATGCGACTTCGACAACAAATGTCAGCGCGTAACGATACCGCTATTGTCCTCCGTTTCTCGGTCTTCGATTACGAAATGAATCGAGATCAAGGACCGTGAATCGTAGGATATTTCGGTGTTCCAAGATGGCGGAAGGTTGGACAAACGCAATAAATTATCAATTACGATATTCTTAGAAAGATTGAACTCTTAACCACGAACTGAACTATGAGCTAACGCTTAATGGAAATAAGAAGAGGCAAAAAGTAATGGAAATGTGTAATGCAGGATGAAGGAAAACAACACCGTCGGGAATGTCCGCCATATTGCGATGGGTGGGAAATAGTTTAATCCAGCGGAGGAGAATATTACGAGTCCTGTCTTAGCATGTCTTCGTTTTCTTAGTTTTCCTAAACGATTTTCCCCGTTTTGCGGAGGAAACACCTGTTTGTGGTCAATGGTGACAGCAATATTGCACCTCCAGTGGACTCATTTTGGTCATATGTCACCGCGGATATCTTGGAGCCTGTTCGACATCACACCCAGAGAACGATATCCGGAGAAAACGAGACTTGGTGACACATACACGCATGTTGAGCAACTTTCGAGGCAGCTTAGAGGGCGTCCTGATTCAATATGGCTGCCTCTCGTCAGGACATCCTTAGCTTGCTCGGAGAACGAGTTTACAAATTATGTATTCATACGATGCGATGAAAACTGAGTCTGGGCTCCTCCAGACTAATAAATAAAATTGAATTCGAGACAGTGCATTCGATCTGACTGATCGACAAGTCCCAGAAGACTTAATTATTTTACACCAAACTAGCCTTAGTCTAAACATTTCCGTATTCAATTGTCGCATAGAATACGCATTACCTAATTGTCTTACTAAGAAACAATATTCGTATACTAGATATAATAAATGATTATGTGTACTCCTAATTGTACAGTGAATTTATTGTTCACTGTTACACGAACTTGTTTGGACTTGTCGATTAGAGAGAGCTCGACTAATTTTCATTAAAATTCAGAGTGCAATGTAGGCCCAGCCTATTCTGCGAATTGCAACTCAGTCTATTGTGGCTATGAAGAAAATGAATTTACATTTTCCTTGAGTGGACATCTACATCTCATTCTTATCGTTTATTCCGAGCGTTATTCAACGTGTATTGATTTAAAAATTCCAACCGTATTTTAGTGGTAAAATTGATGTTAATCGAACTGTTGCATTCTGGCTAGTCCACTTAAGGATTCACTTGAACCTCGTGTTCGAATATTAAAAGTGACAAAGTTTAGGCCCAGCCTAAAATGAAATCGGCGGTTCTAGTTGGATAAATATTTCCACGCAACCGTTCTCCGAGCGTCCTCAAAATTCCTCTCCCCAATTTCTCGTTCTCTTCGGATCGGAAGTCCAACCCCCAAAGGGGCTGAAGACTCGTTCTGACTGCGATTAAACCTGAGCGGGTTTCGACTTGCCGACGACCAGCATTATCTTCTGCAGGAACTTCGTGGTGCTTACTGCAATAAAACAACACCAAACAATTATATTTCTTCCTTATCGCAAAATTATTGTAATCTGTCTTTTTTTTGGAAAAGAAACTTCTCTTCCATCTTCAAAAAACAGACCATGGAATTTTCAAATTCTACATGCAGTCGTCACACTGGGTACAAAAGTACGAAAATTTGAATCAGTAAAAACTAGACTTCTTTTCTGACTAATACTACCAAGACTTATCACCTAAATACTGTTTTCAAAATAGCTTTTCTATAAATAAGTATTAAAACGTATTCTATTTCTTCACAGAACTATTATTTTAAAGGAAAGTTTAATTGCAATATCCTGCAGTTAATAAAACAATATTTATTTACAAATATCTGCTGAAAGGTACGATTTTCTCCAATTCCGATAATTAAAACCTTAACGAGGATCAGATACAATGTATTTTACTGCGGAAAATGTTTCGCGAAAATTGTCCTGCCAACAGGTGACGACCACACGAAGATAGAGAGACGAAGTTAGCGAGAGAAGAGCGATTAGATTTCCTTGCAGAACGAGTCCCACAACCATTAGATACGTTTGTTAGTCTTTACTGGTGCACCGTGTGTTCAAGTTAGTGTGCGTGACGCTTGTTCTGTGGGTGCAGCATGCAAACTTAATCGTTAAAGATGTTTGGGAAAACTCAGATAGCTGATAAGAAATGGTATTGGTCATAGCGAGACGCGCGGATTAAATCAGGGATTATTGAGAGTCGTAAAAAGTCATTGCTGCGACGTCGGTTCGGGTTTTGGAAAATAAAATATGTTTACTCGTTCGACGACTGATAAGTAGTTCAAAGTGTCAACGAAGAAGGAACGTGAAATGCACTGTTGCTATATCTGCTTTTTCTAAAATACTCGAGATGATTGGTAATAGGCCGCGGATCTTTACGCAAATTCAGATTGTTCAACTTTTCTCAATATTGGACAAAATGGTTATTTAACCCTTTGTACTCAAGTGGTGAACAAATCATTCATTATGTATGACACGTTATGAAATTTCTTTATATTTAACGAACTATGAAAAGCGTAACTATCGATTTCATACTTGCGTAAAATATACTTGAGTTGTGCCAAATGGAAATACAGTAAGTCAGAAAGACTATTTCGGATTTAAAGTTAACATGTGTTCGAGTGCAAAGGGTTAATTTCTTCGCGTAACTTCGCAGATTCGCACAAGATCTAAATAAGTGCATAAAGACGCGAAGTCAACCGATGATTACGTGTCATGCAATGAGCGACGGAACGAATCAAAATGAGAAACGTTTGCTCGAGAAAATAATCGCATCGCGAGCGGCATGCACGGTGATCGAGAAAGCGGTAAGCTCGTCCGTGATCGTCGAGTGATCAAGAAATCAAAGCTAAGCATGCGTGGCATGACAGGAGTAAAATTATGTTAGAGTGTATTCTGAACCTTAGTCTTTGGTCCGACGACTACCATCAGCTTCTGCAAGGTTTTGGTAACGGCGCCTGCGGGAACAAATCGGTTAAACAGAAACTGAACGAACCAATATCAACCAATAAATATTTTCTTCTTCGTCCGAATCGACTGGTTCTATCCAGGAAGAAGCGTAAACTAAGTGACCGGGAAACTAACTCAATCAACGATTTAACGAAGTAACAACAGAACTATAAAATCTTTAACCGGATCTTTCTCGGGATTATTTTGATTAGGTCGATTCCGAACTTACTGACTCCTTGCTGGAAGAATTTTGGTTTGTTTTTCCATGAGACGAACACAAAGTACACTGGCACGGACGAGAAGATCATCAGGCAACCGTATCCTGAAAGATCATTTCAAATGTTTCAGTGTGTTGACCGATTGGATGTCCTTTGCTGGGTTTTGTATGATTCGATTGTTACCTGTTTCCACTGGACTGGCGTACATGGGAACGATAGTCACGAAAAGGGTGGCGAGAATGTATATGAACGGGAAGAATAGGTTCACTTTGATTGGCCTGGGCAGATTAGGCTGGGACCATCTGAGCCATGGTAGGCAGAGCACGGAGACGCCAATGCTCAGCTGTGAACATACAAGAGGCACTAGAAAATTCTATCTTTATATTAAATATGTTAATATTTTATACTTTAAGACGAATACTTCTATATTTAATTTAGTACCGTATTTATTTATTTAGACCTTCCGCCACGTTTTCTATAAGAGAGGGGTCTTCATAATTTTACAAGTTTAGTGTTAAACACATTCTAGCTAACATAAGAGGAATTAGTAGAATTGTTCTAATACTTGGGAATTTAAGTTAGTAACTAATTTATAAAATTTTGTTCTTCTCATCGAAGAGATTATTAACGCTTCGAAAACAAATGTTGACAGACCTATACATCTTATTTCCGAAGTTGTAAACATATCCTTTGATTGTGTACATAATCGAAGATTACGATATACACTATATTCTCTCTAATTGACGCTCAGATTGTACACAAAAATGGACAATTTGGGAAGAGTAATAATCGTATTATTGTATTGGGAAGAGTAATAATCGTACCTCCTCTTTCTAAATTGTCTATTTTTGTGTACAATCTGAGTGTCGATTAGGGAGAATTTACTATACTCTCCATTTTTCCCATTAACCCCTTGCGCCAAGATTTCTTCTACAACTGTATCGATTAGCGTCCTCGATTAGTGCCAAGAACAAGACAGTTCTTGTCTCTCCGATGCCCTCGTTTACTTTCATTACCTCACTTCGATAACGGAACAATCAAATTTGTTTGCAATAACATTCATATTTAATAGCTCATTTGTGAAATGTCCGTCACGAGTCCGACTCGCTGTTATAGTGCAAGGGGTTAATTAAGGCTGTGATACATAATCTCGGTCACCGAGGAAAATATACTCTTAGTTGTTTAAAAAATCCTCGTACGCAAACGTTTTTTTATAGAATAAATGTATTGGAGAATAAAGTTGTCGACTATGAACATACCCAGGTAGCAAAGCCAACGTAGTTGATCAGAGCAAAGATGTCGGAAGAGCAGAGATACAACATGGACAACAGCGCCTGGAAGAAAGAAGAGCAAGATTTCAATTACCGGTCCCCATTGTTCCCATTTCCTTCGACTTCCTTCGAACATCCCCGTCGCAAAATCCTGTAAAATCCCCTAAGAGGCCGCAATCGGGACAGGAAATTGCAGGCGCTAACTTAGGGAAATGACTTTCGATTATATACCTAGGTGTCACGCGAACCAATGGCCTAGATCTAATTCCGTGCTTCTTAAAAAATTCATAGCATTCGATTTATCCTAGTTCTTCAAGGTGGCGGGGCAAGATCACTTCAGTCAGCTACCTCAATCCACATTACTTATTTCTCTGCGACTACAATCGCTTCACAACGTTGAGAACGAAAAAAGAAAAGAAATGAATCACGCAAACGGTTTCGAACGATTAAAAAATTTGTCCGAGTGTCGCACTCTCCGCTGCGTTGAGCAACAAGTATCGAAACCGATTGTTATTGGACCGTGCAATCATGTCGAATTGCGCGCTGCCTCAAAGAGGACGTCTTTCTTAATGGCCGTTGATAAGCAGTAATTACATTAATAAAAACACGAAAAATAACTGAAGTGTCAACGCACCATGCAGAGAACGGCCGGTGTCGGCGTGACCCTCGATGTTTGGATCATCGTCAGTATTTCAGGCATCTGGCCCTCGCAAGCCCCTGCGTAGAAGAGCCGAGAAGATGTCAGGAGAATTCCATTTACCGCTCCGAACGTCGAGAGGGCCACGAACACGGGGATCATCCAGGAGAACCAGCCGAAGAGACGATTCGCGAACGTCTGTAACGCCGAAAATACTTAATGAGTTTCGTGCAATGGGATTGTTTCGTGTCTCGTAGAAGCATCTCTCAATTTCAGTCCTCTTTCCAGGATTTTTATCATTTCGAGGTGTCGAGGGAAAAAATCGCATTTTATCGAGGACAATATGTACGCGTAAGAGGGAGAGAAAGAGAGAGAGAAAGAGAGAGAGAGAGAAAGAGAGAGAGAAAGAGAGAGAGAAAGAGAGAGAGAGAGAGAGCAAGCGAGCGAGCGAGTGTGTGAATGGAACAGCGACACACTAAAAAGATAAAAAAAAGAAAAAGAGAAACGAGGAGAACGAGAGAGAGAGAGAGAGAGAGAGAGAGAGAGAGAGAGAAATAAGATGTAATTGTTTCGACGTGTTAAACATACAATATCAATTCCGTCGAGCGAGGATAGGAAAGCAAAAATTTCATTGTAAACCGGAGACTTATAGTGAGCACAACGATTACAACGTCGTTCTAAGTAATTTTAATCGCGAAACAACGCGAAGTATTGATAAACTGTGCGAAGAGAATCGATACAGATCCCCCATTCATAATCATATAAGGTTTGAACAAAAGAACATTTGTTACAACCGATGATCACAGACTTTATTCTTAAAAACAACGAGATAACTTCGTCACTCCAAAGAAATCGCGGAGAGAATTAAGCGCGAACGTGATTGTTGTTTGCTAACTTGGACGTATCGTCATAGACTACTTAATAGACACTATATATGCAGCATGATTACTTGCGCCATTAAACTTTAACTACATTTCTGTTAACTTACCACTGCCACAGCCTCGCTTCCCAACACCTCGACGGGACTAAGTGTCGTGTAGAAGGCCACATTGGCGAAGACGTAGACGAGAGTGACGAGGACGCAGGAGATACCAATTGCTTTAGGTAAATTCCTAGAACGACGAAGAAAAAGTCGAATGTTAACACATTGTCCATTCCAGGAACACATTTATAAATTTCTAAACGATTGATACGATTATTAAATTCGCTAGAAAGTCCCTATTCGATCTCTGCATATTTAACGCGTTAAAGTTAAACCAATAACTCGACGCTGTCGTGTTCAAAAAACAATATTTTATTATTCATGTAATGTAAAAAAAAGCTCACTTTAAGACGTGTCACTCGAAAAAAGAAGTACAGTAATTTCTCCCGAATTCGCGCACAAAAATGAACTATTTGGGAAAAGGAGATACGATTATTCTCATTTTATAGTTGTCCACAATCGGTAACTATAAAAACGAGCCGCGAGGCTCGAATAATCGTACCTCCTCTTTCCAAATAGTCCAGTTTTGTGCGCAATCCGAGCGCGAATTAGGGAGACATTGCATTTTTCGTTGCCCGTAATTTCGTTTCCGTTTCGAATCTACTTAAAACCGAAAATGAAGTTTCCAAGTTTCCTTTGCACAGTTTACCGACGTGTTGAAAAACTATTAAAAGCCGATTGTTGGATGACGTGTTGGGATCTCCGCGCGAGTAGAAGTGTACAAACACCAGCGTGACGCTGGTAATTGAACGCAACGAGATTAAAGCGCAAGTTCATTGATCGTTTCAATGATTCTAATGGATCTCGGCTACAGGCAGTCGAAAATATTTGACCTTCACAGGCTTAAGACTTTGCACAAGAGTCCTCGTTTGACCCCCATGTCGGAGTCAATGGAGTTGGCTGTGCATTGCGAGACCGTCTTTTAATTAATAAATACACGAGATCGGCTGGCGCAATCCCTATTAATCATTGCATGAGATTTCAGCGGAGATCGGGTTAAACTAGTTAATTCCCCTACGAAGTGCTGTTTCCAGTTCTATATATGTTTGTATCGATTACTGTGGTTCTTTTATTCTGAGGAACCGGTGACAGAAAATCCAAAAATTATGTTGCTATTTTGGCTCGAGCAAGGGAAACAGTTAAAGTTGTTATCGGAGGATTATATAGTTATATACCGTTATATAGTTTTCAATTTTTCAAATATTACAATTTTTGAGCTTTCAATTTATCAAACGTGGATATTCTTGAACTTCGATGTCTTTAAATCCTCGCGTATTCGATTATTTTTCAATCATTAAATTCCACAGCTGAATCAATTCGAGGGTGGCAAGAATCTTTAAACAAATCGCTTTCTTGGATTCCAGTCTAATTGGGATCAAAACAGTTCTACCGAATCAAGCAGCTGTTACCACTTGCGTTAACTTTTATGATCACTTCCCCAATCAGTGTATCCTTTAAGATTCGCCGTAAATGATCGTCTGTCCTAATTAACAGGAATCCGCGACACATAAAACTGTCTCTTATCTGAAATCTCTGTCTCATTATCTGAAAAGAGCCGCGAAAGTGATTACGAAAAGACCACGCGTGCTTGTACGTATTGTTTAATCATCGAGCTTTCCGAGGCGTTGAAAAAAGTGAGCCGGTTGCATACTTGACCGGGTCCTTGAGCTCCTCGATGATAAAATTCAAGTAGTTCCAGCCATTGTAAGCGAACAGCCCCGAATAAAAGCTGAGTGCTATCGACGTCACTTCTGTGTTCGTGTTCTCGAACGTGAAATACTGCGTGTTCCCTGCGAAACAGATTGGAAACCATCGATCAAACGCCCGAAGCAACCCTTTCGAGCATAAATATTTGTCCCGTGTCCGTCAACGTAGCACGCAACCAAATACATTTACAATTTTTTCTGAAAAATAATATCGGTCAAGTCGTTCCTCTATCAAGTCCAGCGATAAGTTCGAATAAAAATCTGTGATTGATAAAAAGTTAAATAAAAATAATGTTCGTACAGATTATTTACAATCAAGAGAAATACAATATTATCGATCGATCTGCATTACAACGTTCGGCACGTTCGCATGAAGCAAATATGAAAAAATAAAATCCAGTTTATTTAATTACAATTGTGCGAATATCTTAATGATCTGTACAACTTGTGCGATAAAATTTCAATTCACTATTTGATAATATTAAAATGGTATAATTAGATTGCAGGATTTTACGTGAAATAAAATTTCTCTGCGTCGCTTGCAAGACACAGGCGCTGCATAAATATTGATTTCTTTTTTAAATAAATTGAATAAGTTGAAAATATTGCAACGATATCTTCAAATTTTATAAATCATTTTACGGTATTGTATTGGATCGCTTTTGTCGTATGTGCATAAAATTCACAGTCGAATTACAGTAATTAAAAGGAAAGAAAAAATTTCTGACTTAATTTTACTCAAGAAATTGATTCAATTTATCTAGATCAAGGTTGTCGCCCGCAAACTGGCAGATTTCCAGCGGTACTGAAAGCATGAGGACACCTGGGCAATGCTGTTGATCATATTATTTGTTTGTAAGAAGTTTAATTGGATTCTTTGGTCCAGGAATCGTCGCGAAGCTAATTTATCGGAATCAGAGGAGTTCTCACGACATCGTCAGTCTGAAAGGGGCCATTTGCAGGGCTGAATAGGTCAATTCAAGTGATTCCTTGCAACGAATCGTCCCCGCCTGTTTAATCCACCTTTTTGATTGGGCAAATTGTCTCGTCCGGCACGTGAAAAGACGCCTAACCGTCTTACGTTGCGGACAGGGTGGCGTGGGCGACGGAACATTAACTTCTTCCTCGTTCTTGCGTTGTGCCGTTGTGCACCCGACAGAGAAACATTGTGGCGCGAAACATCCTCTAATGTCTAAATCATTCTCGAAGCTGTCGACACAACCGCTGCTTGAAAATCCGTCATATCCGATACTATAATGAGTCAATATGTCTGCTTTCTTAGAAACGTTATTGGCTTTGTATTTAACACGTTAAGCGCCAAACATCGACCTCAAAAGTTTCGACAGCATCAAAATCATTTAATTAATGAAACTAACACTACGTAGATCATTGTAACTGTTCACAATGCATTGACACATTTAATTTGTTCGAATGTGTTGCAATAAATATGAATTCCAAGACATAGTTAAAAATTAGTGTCACTTATCGCTTTTTGCACAGGTGTTCTGAACAGTCACTTTGTCCAGGCGATTTTCTAATAGTCCTTTCTTTTTCTAGCGACGATCAACCGTCGAGCATTTCTCAAAATATTGTTCAAAAGTGATAACAATTTTATTAATGATTAGACAAATTATTTGGATTATTGTAACTTAATACTTTAAGAGCTTTTCTACAGAGATTGTTACTTTAAATAAAATTGTACTAAATACAATGTTTATAAGTATTAAAATATTTAAATAAAATTTTCTGTAGACCTTAATAAAACATGTGAAGATCGAAGTTAATTGTCAGAAACTAGTCAAATAACAATGCGTATACTCTGGGTCCAAATGGACCCGAGCCCTGTCGTCCGAGTGTTACAAAGGTAACACGAGAACCGCGAAGTGTTAACCACTTTGTCCTTTCTCCCGACATACCAGAAACTCGTCAGAGTCTGAAGAGATTGCAAAATTTTTCGTAAAAAGTGTTTCAATTTCACGTCGGCCAGTTTCTTTCGAAATAAACTGTCATCTGAATCATCAACATCTTTTAGATCCGTGGCTCGCAAGAACATTTGGTTCCATGCTTTTTTGTTCTATGTACGGAGAATGACGGCGCCAAATCTTGTGGAGCAATTGTTTAGCACAGTCCAATGATTGACAGCTGACGACGCGTTGAGATCGTGCACGCCGATGTGAAAGTCGGTCGGTCGGAAGAAAAAAAGATTAGGCAACGATCTCCAGCGGAGAGAAATAAAACAGTGAAAGGTATCCCGTTTGGTTTTGCGTACGGTAAACTTTCGTCAGCCGATGTCGTTAAACTCACCGGCGAAGAGCTGATAGACACCGGCGAAGATGATGATGAAGAGCGCTAAGAGCTTCGCGTAAGTGAAGATGTCTTGCACTCGCGTCGCCCATTTCACGTCCCAGCAATTGATGAACGCCAGGATACCTGAAACAATGTTGAAAATTCGTTATTTCTAGAATTAGAAATTTGTTTCTGCAATTCCAGGAAAACTGATCCAAGAAAGTTAAAACAGAGGTAACGTGTGGCGATTAAGTACTAGGTACTTGATGATCGAAGGATGATAAAATTTTTCAAAGACGGTATTAATCTCGTAAAAATCAAGACAGTATTAATTTCATAATAATCAAGAGAATAACAATTTGACGCCAATGACAAATCTTCTATAATTAATTTCACCCTTATCTAAAATTAATTGTAATCTAAATTTCTATTAAAAATCCAGTAAAACTTAATTTTCTATTAAGAATAGTAATAAATACTAATAAATAGTATTATAAAAAATAGTAATAAATAATAATTTATATTAATATAAATTTGAATAGATGCAATGTTCACCAAATCTATTTCATCAAGTCTTCAAATCTATTCATCGACTATTCACCAAACCTAATCAAGCATTTAACGAGACCTTTCAAAAAAACCTCGCGAGAACCCTCGGTTCTAAATTGAAGGGTGTGCTGATTAGAATGAATCGGCAGATTCAATGAGCGACGAGAGTGTTCATCTAGTAAGCCGAAGTCAAAGCGTTCGACGTTCGTAGACAGCATGTTATGTCTAATGACACGCAACCCTCGACGACGTCGGCCGACTATCTAATTGTAAGTGTAAGTTAGACTTTCCTGCACACTGATTGCCTTCCCCGTGATAGGAAAAGATTAGGTAATGTTAATGAGCGATGATAGCATAATACAGCGACGAGTCTGTTGCGTAATTTCATTCATTTGTGTCACGAAACGCCATGATTACCGATAACACGTAAATTACACGTCTGATGGTTGAAACTCCAGCGCTCTGATATGATATATGTATAGTACATGAAATATTTCTTTTGTTCGAGGATATCCAAATTTTTTGGTCGAGCGCGTGTTTTATCGTATAATTCACGAAGCTTTATTTTATTTGTAACAGGGGTGGTCAAAGCGTCGACAGCATAACTACAGTCATTTCTTCCTAATTCGCGCTGAGATGCGCACAAAAATGGACAATTTAAGAAGAGGAGATTACGATTATTCGTGCGGCTCGTTTTTATACTTACCGATTGTCATTAACTATAAAAGCGAAACGCGAGGCTCGAATAATCGTATCTCCTCTTCCCAAATTGTCCATTTCCGTGCGCAATCTGAGCGCGAATTGGGGAAAAATTATTGTATTTCTAGTCGCCCGCCTATCTGATATTATTAAAACTTATTTTTGGCTTTAAATTGCTACTTTTCTTATGATCACTTAACACGAAAATACGTCGCCCGTAGTGATCAAAAGTTTGGCCACCCCTGATTTACAATAATCGATGCAGAATTCCGGCTGAAATTGCATACGTATGTCGGGAAACTTCGCACTGCGGGGTAAGAAGCATGTTAATGTCAGGAAAATGATTTATATGCAAGGAAATATCAAAATGTAAATAGACGTGACAGTGATGTATTGGCACGAGAGTCGCCATAGTGGAAAGACACGACCCTAATTACAGAAATGAAACGCGAGGTGATGAAAAGGCTTGGAATACAGTGTCGTAACACGGGGCAATCTGTTTGGAATCGGAAAAGCGATGATTATTAATTGAAAAACATATTTATCGATGGTAGCTACCTATCGATATCACGGTAAATGAATCGTGTCGTTATTAATGTGTTCTATTTACAATTTTACATTTTAAAGAGCATATTTATACTAACAGTATACCGTACAACTCGATAAAACAGACTGATCAATATTTTAATAATTGCTCGTGCGTTCGCCAAATACCAAATAAACGACATAGTTTCTAGTCGATAAGTATGACCAACAGAGACCACACCGCAGGTTCAACGCCGGTGCCCAGAAGCTCTATAGTTAATTAAGTACCGATTAAACCGATTAAACGATCGATTGCCTTCGATCCGTGATAGACGAATATCGTTATCATTATCGATATTTTATCGCACGGAACCGGTTGCAAGCGGTAGCCGAACGCTGGAGACTATCTGGCACCAACTGGTTTAGTGAACCATGACGATGGTCGGGGTAAAAAGAGTCCTGGTTATCGACCTGCACCACTATCCGTCGGCAAACGTGCGTAGTTCCACCGATAAACGCGAAGACTAATTGCCAAAGATCTGTCTGCGATCCAGAGACAGCTACCTCTTCAGCAACATCTGTGATCTTGCTTTTTTCTTTAGACGATCGTTTATATTTAGGTGTTCGAATATTCGGATCTCAGATCCACAGAGAATCTGGAATTTAAAAGAGACAGTACTTCCAAACGAACGATTTTAAAAATAACCCATTAACCCCTTGATTAGAGCCCCAATGATTGGAACTTTTTCGATTATAATAATTTCATAGAAGGCAAAGGATATTAATATTTATTCAGTAGTACATAACGCTGTGTAATGATAATATGAGAACGTTAGAATTAATTAGATTGTTTAAATAAAACATGATGGAAAAATTGCGTCGCTGCAGACTTTACGAAATAAAAATTGTTCATTTTGAAGGTACCATTATTATCAACGTTTTCGTTATGTCCCCTTGAGAAGCGATATTTGAAGGATTAGATATTCATGACAAGAGGACAGAATCTTATTTCGACTGAAAAATAATGGACTAACATTCTTGCTTAACAAATCACTATTAAAAATCACAGTGGAATTCGTGAAAGTACGAATTGTCCTTTCGAAAAGTACGCCGATCCAAGGAATTCGCGACGGATCTCGAACGAAATATGAAACACGTCCCCCGCGGAAATCCGAAGAATGCGTTGCAGGTCGAAAAAAAAACGAGGGCCGGGGGTAAATTGATTGCTCGTGATCGGGCGAAAAAAGGTCGGACTCGGTAGCAACGTCGATTGTAGCGGAGACCCTGCGTGTCCTTGGCAGATTCGTTGGCAACAAGAAAGAAAAGTAAAAAGCGCCGACTGATGCAACATCTCGAGGAATATCGCGAGATTCTTTCCGCCGGCTTCCCCGCGTGTCCCTTCCGTCTGTTCCGCCGTCCCTCTTCCTCCTCCTTCGGTCAGCCGATTGTCTGCCGGCGTCTTTTTCGTCTTGAACGTTGCCGGTTCTCCCACCGCCGGTGTATTTCCGCCACGTACCCCCCTCGGCGAATTATGCAGTTGTGCCCGCCAGTTGACACATTACTAAAAGATTACATTTAATCGCAATTGAACGTGATTGCTGACCGCGGTCGTCTTTTCGCTCGATCGAAATAGGGACACTAAACGGTTGCCGTAGTGGTCTCGATATCGGTTGCGTTAAACTCCGCGACGCTAATTTCGCGGCAAATGTCTCACAGATCAGCGATCTTCGTATTCTATCAGCTAGACCTCTGGTCGAAAAGCCAATTATTTTATATGCTATTAATTCGATAGGTGGTTTTTCGATAATTAACACGTTCCGTGCCACGTGTACCATCGATGGTACACGCTTGCATGTTTACTTAGTGAACTGAACAAATTGTTTACAAGAAATTTAAAACCGAAGAATCAATTTCCACCGCAAGAATGGGCGTTGATAAGTTTTTGTTACGTTGTTATGTGTACGAGAATTAATAATTGCACGTAATACAGCAAGTTTTAGTAAAATATGAAAGTGTGAAGATTCGAGTAAAAAAAGCTCGGCACGGAACATGTTAAAGGAGTCGCGAGAGTTCTGCGACGAGCACCGATTTCTTCTTCCATTCCATCCTGTTGCTTTTTTAACGATGAGGTCTCTCTTTTCGGCAGTTTCGTCAATGTCGAAAACTTGAATAAGAACACATCTTCAGTATCTTTGAGAGTGAATTGATGAGAAGCAAGAATAATTTGCACATTAGATTGCAATCTTTACTATTCAAAAAATCATTAGGATCGTCTGTTTGCGAAATGTTCTGATCTTTTTAGTAACACTGAACATCTTCGAAATGTGCATACAACAGAAATTGTGTGTACCGTGAAAAGCGAATACAATTCGTGTCGTCTGTCTGAAAGTGAAGTTTCAGTTATGGTAATCAATGAATCTGATAAATAAATACCCCTAATAATAATAGCCATTAACGATACATAAATTCTGCTAAGCTTCTATACTTTTCTACGTTCGTTTTTCGGTTAGATCGCTGTTAGCTCGAGAAAAAGAACTGCAAGATCGTTTAGGATCAATATATCTGATAAATAAATACCCCTAATAATAATAGCCATTAACGATACATAAATTCTGCTAAGCTTCTATACTTTTCTAAGTTCGTTTTTCTGTTAGATCGCTGTTAGCTCGAGAAAAAGAACTGCAAGTTCGTTTAGGAGAATGAAACAGAGATTAAAAAAGCGAAGAAAAGAGGGGCCGAGTGGATCTAACATGGAGCGTTTTCAGAAAGCGATTTTTATGCATCGATGCAACAGAGAAACGCAACCGTATCTTTTTTCCTGAATGGACATCCCATACTTCTGAATGCGCCGGCCGAATGCAGTTTCGCATCCGCCGTCCTCTTCTTTCTAGCGCGCGTTCCTACACGGTCTGGACGCATATTTCATCCCGAGGCGCATTAAGGACACAACTTTGCATCTGCTTCCAAGAACCGAAAGGCGGATTGGTCCGAAAATAAAACAAACAATGGCGAGAGAAACCCCGTGCAATATTACGGTGGATGCTATATAGTAGCTCGCGATGAGGCCACGAGGCATTCATATTTCAGGCTACCATGGAAAAAAAATGAAAAAGCTGGCGAAACGGCTGTCACTATGCTTCTTATGGACATAAAATTAGCTTGGGCGCAAAAAGAAGCGTGTAGTTCTCCGGTTTGGGGGCTTAACCGTTCGCATAAACGCAGATTTTATGCGCCTATGATAAAAACGAATCGTGAAATATGAAATTATAAAGAGATTACGTTAATATAAGGATATTCTAAAAATTCATTGCAGAGAGATTTTGAAAATAGAGATGTTTCGTCGCGAATATAATGTGGAAAGCAGAAATTAC